ACGCAGATTTAGCGATTGTCCTTGAAAAATTGAGTTAGTTTTTGTTCATGGTGGTCTACTGAAAGCTACGCGAACTGTCTGAAATATTTTCTACTCAATTGCTTACTTTGTAATTGTTCATTGTTTGACTATGCAATGTTTGTTGCTGAAAATCAGTTGCTTCCTACTAAAGCAGTAAAAGGTAGTTAGTATCTTGTCGTTAAACACGAGATACCATGGTACTGTTTTGTTCCATCGGTTGCCAATGGGGTCTTTAAGCTGGCTAGGGTTATATGGCATTTCATTGCCTGCAGTGCCAGATGCGTTTCTCAGCGTTTCTTTCGCTACATCCACATCATGAACTTTGTCGACCCGTGTTTAGTTAGTACCCATGTTTAAGTTTAGTTAGTGCTTAAGATTTTTGATGAAGTATTCTTAGTGCTCAGTGCGAATAATTTCCTATACTGTTCAGGAATTTCAGGAAGTGTTCATTAATTTTATGAAGGAACTGGTCAGGAACATTTTTATTAGAAAGCGGAAGAACATGACTACCTACTTATCTTCTCAACGATCTTCTCCCTCTTTCGTGTTCTGTCTCAAGCCGTGACGTTTGGCCAGGGTGCGCGAAGTTGCCTAGATCGAGCATGCTCAGTCAGTAGGATGGCAGACTCTGAACCGAGATGTCCGGGCCTGGAGAACCGGTTATATCATACCGATTTCTTGTTTCCGATGTGAATAGACGAGTACTACTTTTTCGAAGGAAACTGGAGACCACATGATGCTTGTCGCCTTGCTGCTTTTACTGTGCTTTCTCCTAACGGATAGGATAGAGATAGGGATCAGTGCCCCAGCATGAATTTCACTAAGAGAAGAACTGGCCCTATCTTGAAAGTGTATGGAAGATCGATATTCCAACTTTTACTAACTCTTTAATTTATCTTAAAGTTCCAGTTCGGGCAGTTAAATTAATATACGGTAATCGTTTACTTCGGAATCTTCCTCATGGATTCGGTAAGATTCTTGGTAAAATGCATAGAAAGCAAATGATTGCAGGTGGTGTCTGTCTTATGTCTAAAAGTTTCTAACATCTAAAATCTAAAAATTCTTTCGATCTTCATTGCATCTGGCTACATGATAATTTGTGGAACTCGTAGAATCAAGACATTGACTCAGATATTGGCTCGCCATTTTTCACGCTACATGAAGAAACTGAAAATTCCAAACAACTGGACTACCGCATCGGTGGTTCAATTCCACAGAAAGGGGGACAGCGGCTTTGCAGAATTGCAGACCAAGCAGTTTGTTGCAAATCATCTA